CCCCTCCATCCAGCCCGGACTGCGGCAGGAGGGGGAGGGGGAGGCGGGCGAGCCCTGCAAACCTGTCAAATTTGTCTGATTTCCGCCACCCCACCCCACCCCCCAAAAAAAAAAAAAATTTTTTCTGCGTTGTCGCTTCCTTTCGGTCATCCCTGAGGAAAGCTGACAGCTGATGGCACTTGGGGGTGCGGCGGAGGGAGGGGGATGAGCCGTGGTGGGGCTTTGTCCTATTGTGGAGGATGCAGCCCATGCTGCAGGCTGCTGAGAGGAGGAAAAAAAAAAAATGGCAGTGCTGCTGGCCGTGAGGTTTGCTGGTGGAGATTTCTTCTGGTTCCTGCCTTCCTTTGAACCGGGGAGATGCCTGGGGCCACCGCTAGCTTGTCCGCTGCGGGTTTAATAGGGGCTGAAGGGTGGATTGCAGGTTACAAATAAGAGGCATTGTTTGAAGAAGGGGGGAAGAAAATCCAATATGGTGGAGAGGAGGTTTTCCTCGCTGTTAAATAGCCTTTCCTGCTTTTGTTTCCCCCTGTTAACGGGGAGAGGTGGCTAGACAAAGAGATATCTTTGGGGTTGGCCGGGAGGGATTTCCCCCACTTCCCCTGTCGATGGTAATGGTGAATAGAAATACATGCGCTTCCTACTGTGGCTTTGGTGCTGTGATTGACAGCGGCGAAGGCATCATGTCTGCTGACACAGGACCGGGGCACGGCTGCTTAAGGCAGATCTGGTTTATCATCCCCCCGTTTCGAGTATGGGGATAATGGTAACAAAACCAGGATGTGGCACAAAGAAAATGTGCAAAGTGTGGGAGCGTCTTCCCAGCTGCTGCCGTAGGGTAAATCCAAATTTCCTGGTTGCTTTCATTCCTTTCTCTAAAGGCTTTTCCTTTGAGGTAGCAGGGATGACTTTTGAGGCAAAAGCTTCTTCCCTTTGATAGGGAAAACTGCAGTCTGTCCTAAAACCTGTCCCTGCCTCACCAAAGCAGGGAAACGGACTTTTGGGGAGGTGAAATATAATGAGCTTCTAGCAAAGGGGCCTCCAATAGATCGGAGCTCCATTAAAATGTTAATTTATGCTTTAGAGTGAGCTGTGGTATCAAGTTAGTAAGCACCATGCTTAATCTCAAACTGACAAATGCCAATGTAAATTTGACAAAAGGCCCCTTGTGAAATCACTTTTAAGACAAGCTAATGCTAATGATCAGCAGTTGAGTTAAAAGGAATAAATTACGGCCGTATTTTAAGGTGTGCTGACCAAACTCGAGAGCCTGAGAGCGTGCAGGAGCGCTTATTTTGCTTCTGATGTGCAAGCTTTACCTCTGAAATACCAATTAGAACAGGATGGACTTCATCTCGACTTGAGCAGCTCGTGCGGAAAAGCAGGCGAATGGAAAGCAGAGGTCCTGGTGCAGCCAGGATGTTCCCGATCCTAAAATGCACGGTGTTGGCTCAACCGTTTTGGCTGGCGAATGGTGTTGGAGCGGAGCCTGGCTCAGGCTGGGCTACAGGACTTCTTGCAGTCAGATGGGGCATCAAACTGGAAGCTTGAAGGTTGCTCCTCCAACTTCGGTCTGGTACCAGTGCTGGCAGAGTCAGGCTTCCTGAGGAAAAGGAACTGGAAAACGCGCTGCGTAAACACGTTCAGTTGTTTCTTTCCTCTTCTAAGACCCTTGAGCTGTCATGAAACTTCAGATGATGTTTTCAACCAGCCTTTCCTTAAAGCTGGCCCTTGCAGAAATGGAGTGTTGGAGTCCCACCAGGCAACTGTTGTAAGCTGAGTGAGTTTGTGTCTCCTCTGCTGAAAAGCCTGCCTTGCTTTTCCAATCTTGATGCTGCCTGAACAAAAGGAGATGAACCGGGGGTCCTGTTTGCTAGATGCTCGAGCGCTGCGCCCCTCTGCCACGCTACCTTTTGGGCTGTGCCCATCTTACGTCTTGTCCCATGAGAGTTACCGGTTGACTTGTCCCAGCGTCCATCGCTAGGGCTTGTACAAAGCCCATAAAATAGCTGTAATCCAGACCATCTGGGAGAGGCAGCGAGCGGCTGCTGATCTGGAGGGTTTTTTTCTTTCTTTCCAAAGTGAAAGTTCAGTTGTTGGTTTAGAGAGGAAAAAATAAATTGTCGGAGCCTTTGTAAAAGAGCCACAAATACGTCCGTTGCAGCGGTCGTTCTGGTTGTGTCTGCAGGGCCGCTGCTATGTAAGTGCACAAGAGTGCATGCATAAATTCCGCTTTTGATGCATCTGAAAGCGCAACGTGAATATTTCAGGCGTTAATCTCTTCTTCAACCAGTAATGAAGAGCTCAGGCAGCTTCAGGCCTGGGATTACTGGCACTAAAATATTTCAACTTTTTCCTTTATGTATGCAAATGGGAGACCCCGTTGCAGTGCCAAGCTTGTAAAGATGATGTCTTAGCAGTATGGGGAAAAATAATCCCAGAGCATCTTTAATCCTGAATTACTGCTGTTCCGACAGCCTCAAACTTCCACGAGGTATAATGAACTTCACAGTGCTCATACGAGAGCGCGACGTTCCTCCTGATCCCTCCGTGTGTTGAGCGGTGGCGAAGCGTCGGGCCGTCTGTGCTAACTGCAGGGCAGGTATTTGCAAAGCGCAGGTGGGTCTGGCTGCCCTAGCAGGAGAGCTGGTAGGTCTTCCAGCTATCGCATCCTGGAGGTGCTGGTGGGAATGGCTTCTCCAGGTTGCTCAAGTCTTAATAGCTTTTAAGATCCTTGGTTTAGGCTTGCTAGGCGCGTCGTGCATTGCAGACTAGGCAGAATCTTTCTCCAGACCTACTGCACAAACCCGTTCTTAATCTGGCGCGGCAATCGTCAGGCTGGAGAACGCCTAGTGTTTTTATTTTCAGACTCGTCTTTTCAGCTCACCTTAATTTACACCTCTGTGGTCTGGAAGGGACTCGGTACTCGCTCACCGGGACGTTTGGGAGTGGGATGTGCCTTCTGACAGATGTTATCTGCTTTCTGTGCTCCAGATGACATGGGTTATTTGACATGAATGTTGGGCATAATTAAACGATCTTGTTTAGCCCCAGTAGATGAACACCGTGTTCCTGCTGGGTTTTCACTGGTTGCAGGCACCAGTGCGTTGAACTGAGCTGCTTGCCTGCCAGCTGCCTCGCTGCGTTAAAGCTATATAAATCCATCACAAGGATCCAAATTCACTTTCTATAGGAGCAGAGTAGCCAAAGTCTTCGGTTCAAGATATATTTAATCGTATAGGCACAGGCCTCATTGCTTAAAGAGCCTAAATAAAGAACATCAAAGTGACTCCGAGGACCAAGTGGAGTTTCACTGTCCCTTGCATCATCCCCTGGTAGCCGAGGGGATTGCTCCAGTGCAGTGAGTAATTGCTTTCGCAGTTTGTATGGCTAAGCAGAGCTTTTGAGTCTTGCTTGCTGGAGTCTGGCACGGGAGGCGTAGCCAGCGTATGTTAGAGGTGGAAGAGGCTGGTAACGAGCTGTGTGTAACTTCTTGCTCACCGCGGCACAGCCCTGTCTTTCTAAGAAAGAGCTCTTGCCGTGCCAGAACCCGTTCTCAAAGGTGGAGGGGTTTTTGCTAAATGTTTTGCGCAGAACCCTCCCCTCGGCGCTGTTAGATGGAGCGACACTGGCTCAAGTTTCCATCGGTCGGTCTGAGCCTTTCTGAACTGCCGCCCTACTTGGAGAAAATCCATGTAAACCTACTTGCTTCCCTCGATTCCTGAAGGCTTCTGCGTGCGAAAGGTCTACTCGTGACCGGTTTGTGCAAGCAAGGGAAGAGCCGATGGTCTTAAGCAAGCATGGAAACACCAATACCTCTGAGTTACCCCTTATTCCTGTGTTTTCGTTTTTGGTTTTTTTTTTTCCGTGGATTTGTATCGAATGTGCTGTCTCTACGTTTCTGATGCATGTTGCTCTCTGGCTCTCTGCTCTCCGGCCATTTGAAGCGGCTGAGCGGTGCTGCAGACTACATCGATCGCTCTAAGACTTGCTCTGTCATTCATTTGGCTACCCAGTGCAAGCCCTCAGGAGCCGGGAGCCCATCGTAACCTGAACTGGCCGAAACAGTGGATTATAGTAGCACAGCGTGACTGTAATTTGCACAAAGACTGCGTTCGACCCCAGCTGGATATCTGGAGCTTTCCCTGCTGTGTCTTGGTGCCCTTTCTGCTGTCAGCAGCAGCTCAGTTTTACCCGTTTGCGCAGGGTCGATGTTTATAACGTGGTCAGAAAGCCACGGATTTGAACTCTGACCCTTCCCCTTTTTTTATTTGCAGTCTAAACTGTTCCTAGCTCTCCCTGTGTCGGTACAGTCTGTTTGTTTTCCTCGCTCCCTGACCCAAATGACATAATGACGTATCAAGCGGTTCCTAGACGCAGATTAGCGCACCCGTGGATGGGTACAGCCAGCGCAGCCCTCGAAAGGAATTGCTGAGCTGGGAGGATAAATCTATTGTGCATCTTGTGTGTTTTATGACCGTGCTGTTGCCTCATCGGCTGCGAAGGGAAGCGATGGTGAAAGGCCTGCGTGGGATTCCAGTGCTTCGGGGCTCTGCAGGAGCCTGGGTGATATAACGAACCTGTTAAATGAGCCTTGGATGAAATAGTATCGTCATATCTCCACCTCTATCCCCATATCAGTGTTTAATGGGTGTGAAATAAGATTGAGAAGGTACTTAAGACCTCTTCTGTCTTCTGCTGGTACCCAAATTTGCTCTAGGGGGATGCTGGCAATTTGGGCAGGCAACCTGTTGAAAGGATACACGCTTGCTGGGACGTGATGGGTGAGCTATTCTGAGAAGACAGAGCAAGAAATGCTTTGAAGTTTCCTTAAATGGAGGAAGGAAATCAGCTGACATCTGGACTGAAGAATGTAGCTTCTGCAGCTTTTACTGTAACTTCATCCCTGCAGTTGATACTTTTTTTTGAAATCCTGGTTGGCTTCCTCGTGGCTCAGCTCCAGCGTGGACATTGGCAGTCCTGTACCACCATCTGGCAGAGCTGGTGAGCCAGGGTTTTGGAAAATGTTCCAGGGGGAATAAAACCACAGGTTAGAGCAAAGAGTCAAACCAGAACCCTCGTGTAGAGCTCTGTGAAATTTGGTTTAACCGAGGAGATCATGCTGGCCAGTGGCGACACGCTTGGTGTGATAGTCCCACATTGCCTGTGGTAAATCATTAACGTTTGAACGGACCATAAAAGCCAGGTGTACTTTCACTTGTGCAGTTCCTCAGCCTTGTAGGGCTCATGGCGCTCTCGAGTAGTTTCTTACCGCAGGGTTTGGTGCAGCCGTGTCTGCTGTAAGGGTCTCTGCTTGCTTCAGCCTGTCTGGAAAAAGTGGAGGGGCCTGGTAAGACATGAAGGATCTGGAGCCCACGGAGGACGGTATGGTGCTGGAAGGAGCAGCTGATGGCTCGTGGAGAGGTTTTGTGGGAAGTACTGTGGCTAACTCTGCTCAGGATCCGTGTGGTGACCACAGAGCCTTGTGGGCAGCGTGTTTGAGATCACCCACGACTTCAGGGATGAAACTCGGCGGCCCATTCTTGCCGTGCACCAGGCAGGCGGCTCTAGCTTTGCTCTTTGGGGCCTTGGCTGAATGACCGTGGCATCCTGGTGGCTAACAGGCTGGCTAGCACTGCCTTGCTCTCGCGGCAGAGAAGATTTGCCCGTTGCCACCTGGAAGCGCAAGAACCGCAAGTCCTCACGCCAGCGATCCCTGCCAGCCATCCACGCACCCACAGACGTTGAGACGCTTCAGAACAAAATACCCCCTCCTGCAAGCTGCCTGTACCGTGCGTTGGTCTTTCGCTGGTGAAATTCAAGATGGTTTTAAAAGCTTCCTTTACGCCGAGGATTTACCGGAGTTAGGATTTGCAAGCCACGTAAACAATATACGGTGGGAGACTTTGTGTTATAACTGTGGTTTGGCTGAGCGCGCTAACCGATACCCGTATTGGCCATAACATAGTTTGAAATAAGCCTCGTACACGCTGCAGCAGGGGGGAAGTGACACACGAGGAGAGTCCTGAGCGTTCCGCGGGGCGAGATTCATGTGGAGTAAACACGAAGGATCTCACGGAGACGTGGATCTCTGCCAGGAGGGCGAAGCTGCTGGTTCTCTTGAATGAACGGCTCCAGGGCGAGCAAATGTGCAGCGGTGGCATCTCTCAGCAGCTGGATATGGGGTTTTACAGGCTGAACGAAAGATAAGATGAGATGTGGCCAGGACCTACAAATTAGATAGTGTTGATGGTGAATGAGAACTCGATTGCAGATGTAATTCTGCCTTTGGAGAGAGTTGAGGCAGAGCAGGAAAGATCAGCGAAACCTCCACGATAAGCAGTCCTAAGCATGCAAGTATTTAAGTTTTTGTTAAGCTCTTTGGCTTGTGAATGCCAGAGCCGGTGACCGGGTTAGTTGCAAAGTTGTGTTTAATGGGGTTTAGCCGTGCAAGTCCTTAGCTTGCTCTGCAAGCTACAACTTGTGTCCCTCTGCGATTCGTCTCGGCCTCTTGGTGTTGTGTTCAGACATAGCAGCTGCGGCTCGGAGTAATCTCGGTGTTTGTAATCTCAGTGGGTACATAGCAAGGATAGCAAAGCGTCTACTGAGATGATAAAGCTCCCAAACGGCTTAATTTATTCTTTATGCTACTTCTGTCCTCTAAGAGTAGCTGTTGACGCTCTAGTGTGTCCCAGGGTGGCAGGTATAAGATTGAGGTTTTGAGGAGACTACCTGGAGTCCTTTAAGGCAAGGTTTTTTGCTCCTGGTGTCACTGCTGCCTCTCTGTGAACATCCTGAAGTTGATAGCTGGTGGTTTAGGAGTATAGATTTTCCTAATCTAGCCCAAATGCATGAACTTCCCAGAAATATCCTCAGGGGAGCCCTGGTAGGTGGTGGTTGTGTAGTTAAAACATCTTGGTTGGCTTGCCCAGCGCAGACAGCAAACCTAGTAAGGGGTTAATCTGTCTCAAATAGAAGTCTTTCGGCGTGCATGTCTGAATTCTGGAGTGAGGCAACTGGTGTCTTTGTTTTCAAAGGACGGCGCAGGTACCTTCAAATCTAGGCATGCAGCAGGCTGTCTCAACATGCTCTCTGAGAGAGCATCGTTAGGAAAAATGCAAGGAGGCTCAAATGCAACTAACGCGTCCCTTGCATCCTTTGTTTCCTCTCTCCGTAGGAATGCATCCTCTCCGGGATCATGTCAGTGAATGGAAAGAAAGTCCTTCACATGGATCGTAACTCTTACTATGGAGGGGAAAGCGCATCCATTACACCCCTGGAGGATGTAAGTACGGAGGCTGACACCCGCCTATTGTGTCCTCCCCGGGCACATAAAGGGGGCTTTATTTTGAGCTTTCCTAGGGGTGGATTCGAAGTAATTACTCGTAAGGGTTTCCTTTGAGTAAGAATGTTTTATGGCACTTCCACACCAGATAATAGCGGGGGAGAAACCAGTGTGTGTGTTTATACTTGGTAGACAGCACTTGTTTTCTGTAGCTCCCAGCCGAGATTCAAGCACGCAACGTTTGAGCGATCGTTCGGAGGTGTAACGCCCGACAGCTCGATCTTAAAACTCTTCTGAATCGTTATTGCCGCGCTTGCCGGCAAACGTTGGCCTAACAAATGCTGTGTGCTCTCTGTGCCTTGACGTTACGCTTGGTCCTTGGTCTGCGAGCACTTCCAGCTCGATAGGCGCCAGCTCATTTGGTTACTGCTTGTGCCCTGTGATTGTGAAGCCCCTAAAGCTGTTAGCGTGGCTGATTAATTAGACGTCAGGAAATCGCTGCTCTCCTTGCTGCTTAACTGGGTTAAATATTTATATTGGGGAATCTGATTTAAGTATATGGAGAGTGCTCTCTCCTGAAGCAGGCACTTTGATCAGATTACCTTTAGCAATGTTAAACAGTACTTCGGTTCAG